GTCGGGCATTTTTCAAATGCTGCTAAATTTAGGAACTATTGACCCAGTCTGAGTGGATTATTAATAGTCTCATAGGAATGCCTTCAAAACAAGTCTTAAACTATACTTCACAATTATTGAATTTTATGATAAAAATAAATTTGTGAGTTGTCCTAGGTAAAGTATTATGCTCAATTTTTTTAAAACAAATTAGGTCCATCGTCCCAGAGCTAATAGGAAGTAGATCACTTTGACAAAATATGTAGGGAGAGAAGGTGTTCCTTCTAATTGGGATTTTTATCCTATTATGACATATAGAAGCCTTGCTGAGGAAGAGTGATGAGTGATGTCAAAAGGGAGCTATAATGTGGCAGCCTCTGAATAGATGCTATGAAATTTGGGGAAGAGTAAGCCTTTACTAATTCTGAATAACTTGGCACACTCAATTAACTCAAGCTCACTTTATGAATTTACTTTCTTGGATGCTTGATTCAACAGTGCTGCCATTAACTCAGGGTAGATAGAGAATGTATGTTTTCCTGTATGGACATATATCAGTTAGCTGGAGGATCAATGCACTGAGACCAGAGGAACTCACCAATGAGCTGTATGTTTGAAAAGTAACACTAGGAACTCCTAGAAGTAGAAGACACGGTTTCGGCCGCTATAGAAAGCGAGAGAGTAATACGTCAGTCAGTAGAAAAGTTCAGTTGGATGGGAGGAATCTGTTCAGCAGATCGTGGTGACTATGGGTAACAACAACATAGCTAAGAAAATGCTATATTTTAAGTGATGAACATTTTTAACTGTCTCACAATGTAGAGATGTTTCACATATCATGAAGATGCATTATTCCTAGAGTTATAATCAGCATATGCATTATTTCTAGAGTTATAATCAGCATGTGTATGGCTGTGAGCTTTTGACAACTTGACATAAGCCTGGGTCATCTGGGAAGCCAGAACCTCAGTTGAGATGATATCTCCTTCTGACTGTCTTGTGGGCCTGTCAGTGTGGCTTTGTCTTAATTAGTGATTTCAGCAGGATCCTCAGTACGTGCCAGGTGCTGCGCTGCTCAGGCAGGATATAAAAGGTAGATGAATATGAGAAAGCCAGTAAGTAGCATCTCACCGCAGCCTCTCAGTCCGTTCTTTAATTCAGGTTCCTGCCCTGTTTAACCTCCACGCCCGGAATCTTTCAAGGATGGGCTGTGATCCAGTCACGGAAGATGAAATAAACACTTTCCTCCTCAAGTTTTCTTTTCAGTCTTTTATCACAGCAATAGCAAGCTAATCAGGACAATGGACAACCTTCTTCTATTGACTAATATGTAATTAACACTACAAATTATAACACCTGTAAAGTAAAATCACATCGTCTGGTTCTTATGAGAACTGGATAATTTAACAATACAAACTAACAAAATAAATTAATAAAGTTCTAAGAAGACAGTATTATATGATGGTTATTCTGGAAATACTTATATATATATTTTTCCTTTATTCAAAAGGAAAAGGTTCTGTCATCTTCACATGGGCTTCACTTGGATGATGTCCTTTTTGTGAACTTTGTGACTTTTGATTCACTGTCCACTCTGAAGTTCATATTTCTCATCTGCGAGACAGATTATGAGCCCAAGTGGTAGAGTTGTTATAAATTCCAAATAAATACATACATTTGGATGTGTGTGTGTGTGTGTGTGTGTGCAGCTCATACTAGAACTTGGCAAACACTAAATGCAGTATCAACAGGTATTATTACCACCCATGTTGCTGTTAGGGCCATTGTGATTTAATGGTGAGGTGAAGTTAGTAGTGTGACCACTATGTCCAGGTGCTGTTACTCAAATATAGCTGAACTTTTAGAGTACAACAGAGGTCCATAAACTGGAGCCAAACACACAGACAGAGAAAAGACTAAGGTTGTGCTGACCTGTGAACATGAAAAACTCTAAGCTTCTTTGAAAAGTTCTAAAATTTAAGTGTAAAAGGAAAAGTAGATTTCCATTATGAAGCTTCAAGTTGTAGAGCCTGGTGGAGCAAACTCAGCAGGACCCATTTCTGCGAAGTGCTATGGTGCAGACAATTGAAAAGGTGTAAAAAGGCAAACACTGGAAAAGAAAAAAGGGCTTGAGAATCCCTCATCCCCTCTTAGTAAGGGTGTCATGGCTGTTCTTGGGCATGTACCCTAACTAGAAAGAATTCTCAAAAATAATCCAGGGAATATTAGATTCTAAAAGCTTCAGAGTTAAACATTTGAATGCCAAGTGGTTGTTATAAAGGAATATATCACTCAGTGCAAATACAAAATACCTATTCTCCTTTAAAAAGTGACAAATGACTGGGCTGCTATTAATTAATGTGAAGGTGTTTAAAAGGAAAAAAGAAAACTCAATTTCATCACAATCTGAGCTTTGCTAAGAAACTTGTAGTGTGTCAAGATAATAAAAGTAAATCTTCAATGTGACCCAGCATATGCCCAAGGGACTCAGCATCTTACTCCGTATACACTTTCTCAGCCATGGTTACTGCCGGTTTGTTCACAAGAGCGACCTCTTTACTCTCACAGCTTCACCTTGTCTCTCTCCTTCTCAGGCAAACAACAAACAACTAATATCAAAGCAAACTAAAACTCAATAGGACAAAAAAAAAAAAGCCAAGACAATAACAACAATAAAAGAAACAAAAAGTCCACAAAAGCAAACTAAACAAGACAAAATGTGGAACTTGGTTTGTTTTCCCCAACACCTGCACGGCGTGGGGTCTGCCCTGCAGTGTGCCAATATACCCTGTGTCATGCCACTGCAGAAAAAATATTTCTCTTTTTCTAGAATGCACCAGTTACAAAGGGCTTCATAGTTAGGGGTGAAACTTTATGATCGCTTCCCTGTGTCAGTTGATGGGATTTATTTTTTCCTTCTGGCTTGAACCTGTGCAGGTCTGTTGCTGTGTTGACACAGTCTGAATGAGTTCATACGCAGGCTTCAGTCCTGCTGTGTCTAGAAGGCCTTGTATCCTCGGAGTCATCCACCACACCTGGCTCTTACGATCTTTCAACCTCTTCTGTTGCACGTTTTCCTCAGCCTTGAGGGAGGGCTTGATGCGAACAATCCACTTAGGACTGAGAGATCCGAGTCCGTCGCTCGCTCTCTATACATTGTCCAGTTCTGGTTTTCTGTGTTGATTCCCACGCTCTACAAGAAGCAGAATCTCCGATGAGGGTTGAAGGACATAGCCGACCTTGGAGTCTGGAAATATGTCATTAACAGACATTTTCTTTCCATGTTTCTTGAGTAGAATGATACCAGGACTTTTCCTTCTAGGTTCATGACATATCTACTCTCAACTTCTTGGCCTTACTCTCTGTGTACTCAAGGATGTCTTTTTCTTTTCAATTGTTTATTATTTCCTTAATCTTCCCAAAGCTAGTATATCCTTAGGAATAACAATATAAGAATTATGGAAAGTTTTTTCTATAAATTTACTAATTTATCTTTGCCTGATTTACGCCACCAATTTTCATCTAATTCTGGTGATCCTTGTTGTTTCAATCATACTATACTGCGGAAAACTAGATACTTTTATCTGTCCAGAGAGACAAAGAGTTGGTTTTTCTCTCAAGTAACAATGTTCTTTAGTCGGTTATTATATTAAGTGAATGAAGCAATGGCAATTCAATGGAAAACATATCAAGTAACAATTGAATAATCAAACAAGGCATGAATAAGATGATGAGTCTCGGGAGTTATAATTTAAAAAAATAAATTCTAAACGTCAGTCTTTTGTTTACAATTTACTGAATTTTGAAAAATAACTCAGTGAAAATCAATTTGTTTGTTTTTTTCTTACCTGATTATTTTACTAAGATAGCCACAGGATTTTTAAATTGACTTCCTAGGCAGCTCCTGAAGTAGGATGCTTTTCTGTTGCTATTTGTGATGGGGAGGGGCTGGTGAACACAGAGGAAGCCTTGTATGTTCACAGCCACTGCACCACACACCATTGCCTTTTAAATATCATTTCCTCCCATATTTTGCATTATAACTTTGTAAATGTGTGTGTATCTGTCAGCCTGTCAGTCAGCTTCTATTTCAATTTTTACTGGTAAGAATTCCCATTTGTTTACCATTTCTCTGATTTAGTCCCACATATTTTAATCAGTGGCTATTATGCTCATAGGGTACTGCCTTAGGTATTCAAGTAAAAACGTAACATATGGACAGGCAGGTGCACCTTTTTTTAACCAAACAGTTTGAGGGTTTAGGGAAATACTACCCAGAGTTAATTTCATTGTGTTGTCTGTTTTATCCTTAAACTTGAAAATTAGGAGAAAGGTAACATGTTAAGTTTCTTTGAGGCTGTGTATACCTGCCTCTCCCCTTCTGTTTCTAACAGCTGTTCAAAAGCGAGGGAGGCAACGGACAACCAAATAAAATGTTTAATTTTCAAAATGAGACTGGGAAAAGCTATACTCTGTCAAAGAAGAATGAACTGGGAGCCATTTCTAGGATATGAACAGTCAAGAAAATACTGTGGGTGAAATCAAAGATAAGACTCAGATGAAGACAGCAATATAGTCAGTCAGTGCAATTCTTAGGGCTTAGGTACAAAGCCATCCACTTGCTTACTAGAGAAGTAAAGGATGGTACTGGTTGGCAGCAAAAGGGCCATGCTGTGACTGATTCTAGGAAACACAAAGGGAACTTCTGTTTGTAGGAAACAATAGACAGGTTTGGAATGGAAACTCATCCTGCGTCTAAACTAAGATTCTGGAGAAAAAAACACCACGGCAACTTGTTTCCACTTGATTAAAGATAGCATAAGAAAATTGATATTCTCCAATGATGACCTATGAGGAAACTTCAGACAGTCCGAAAAGTCTCCATGCCTCCACTTGGCCAGGGGTGGGGGTGGGAGAAGAAGGAAAAAAGGGATGGAGGTTGTAGATGTAACTAATTGAGAAAAATACCTGTGTAAAACTGAAAACGATCTTTCTTCTCAATCTGTACCATGTACTTCCAGGGAGAACCAGGTAGATGGCCGATTGCAGCATCTTCCTGGAAACCTAGAAAAGATGGAGAGAAGAATTTGGAGGCAGCTTGGTGACTCATGGACACAAAGGAGCTAAGAAAGTGTGGGTCACAAAACCTTTGCTCAGGTTGATAACTTGCAAAGCTTTCCCTCCAGCAGGATTTCTTGTTGGGAAAGGAACAAAGGGAGGAAATGGAAATAAGCTCGGTCTAAATTCGGCAGAAGTGAGAGGACTTGTGGGTGCATTTCAGACCTCTGATGTTTTCCTGGCTTTGTTTCTTCACTCTTTCGGCTGGTGGGCTGCCAGTTCTGGGAGAAGAAATGATTTTATCTTTGGCCCTTACACCTGCTTAAGTTGGAGACTTTTATAAATATTGTTTTATCCATGTCATTGTTTCTTCCTAGTTTCACCTGCGGTAAGCTATGATATAAACAATTACACTCTTAATTCGTTAACTTCAGAGAGTGCATTTGTGCACCATTGCTTCTAGAATTAGGTGATACAGGAAAAATATGCTGGTACAAGACGTGATGCAAAGAGTGGTATTAAAGGATAAATTAGTTAGCTAATTGATGGTGAAGCGTCACTATTAGAAAAATATTAGAGAATTGTCAGTCTAATGAATCTCAGTGCATTGGTTTAGAACGATCTTGGTAGGTCGGAATAAAGAAGGCATCTGGCCACACAGTACACATCTCTCACTACCCTGCTACAGCCACAGGTGCAAGGACTCTTATTTCAGGCTTATAAAGAATGTCTTTCTGAATTTCTAAGTTATTAATATTCTGCTTCTCCTTCCCCAATATAATGTAAGTAGTTCTGAAAGAAGGAACTAGGCAATTGATTTTTAGAAAGAGGGGAAGGTATCCTAACCTTGTTGCTCACTTGTGGTACAAAGTTCAGGTAAGTGTCATAGTAGCAGGCAGGTGCATAGATGACAAGAAGACCCATTGTTGGTTATGAACCACATCAATCATAGGCTACCTAGTTTTAAATTATGTGTCAGAACTACTACCATGTATTCACACCAACACAATTCTTTGAACCCTTGTTTTTAAATTCTGAAGTTGTAAATATCTTTTCCCACTCATAGACAAGGGGGTAAATTTTCATCTTTACTGGTTCTTTGACTTTCAAGTTGAACAGAACTAATTACAGCAGCTTTTCTGTCAACTCAACAGCCACATGGTTGATTTCTCATACTAAATCATAACTAGATTCAATAGAACCATTTGTAGATATCCTTCCATTGGTTCTAGCTCTGAAGAACCTGAATATGTATATAGGTTAATATGAATATCAATACAAGCATTTAAGAATTAAGTTCACATTTGAAATTTAATGGAAGACAGCTCACTAATCTGAAGAAACTCAAAAATAGTGAAAAGTAAGAATTTGAATGAACTCCTGCTTGAGATTGTATGGATTTTAACTGTGGGTCTTACCTCTATGTGTTTGTATTTACACACAGGTATGAAAACAGATGCATACAGTCACTGGCTCTGCAAAGTGAGAGGGGGGTTTCAATATTAAATGAGCACACATTATTCTTAGAAATTGTCTTCTAAGTACTGTTCCCTAGTAAGAGGAAGCAAACTCCTTATCCACATCTAGGCATGAAGAGACCTAGAATAAAAACGAAGATAGCACATTAGAGAATGTTATTTTCATGTAAAATGAACTGATCATCCTTCACACGGAACCTCAGTTTCAGAAACATAGTTTTTATTAATGAAATCTCATCCTACAAAAATGTAAGGCAAATACCTTATTTTTTAAATTTCTGCTATTTTACTTTTCAAAGAAATGTGAAAAAAGAAGGCTTTGATTTGTTTAGATTATCTGAAACACACTCTTAAGTGAAAGAAAGTAAGATCCATTCCAGAGAAACACAGTTTGTTTGTTTCTGGAAAAAAAAAAAAGGCTTGTGTGCCAGTTCATTCGATATGCACAAAATTCTGCTGTTCTATCACAGGATCAGGTCTCTGCATGAGGATAATTTGTGGCATGTGTATTCATTTATAAAAGGAAATAACTGTTATGTAAAGAGAAAATTTATATAAGAGACCTTAGAAATCTGTCTTAAATGCTTTAGATTCTGTTACAAATGAATATATGCATTAGATTCCTTTCGATATTTATATCTGGAGAACGAAGGATGTGTTAGTCAGGCTGCCTTGTTGTGTGAGCTCCAGTTCTGAAGTAGGAATGTGGATAGAAAATGGCAATTGGAAGGAAGGGCTGACTCGGGTATGGGATCCAACGGTTTCGATTGTTTGTGAGCGAGAGCAAGCACATGAGCCGTGTGACCCAAGTAGCCAGGGAATACTAAGAGATGAAGGTAAGTTTCCCCAGTCTAAAGGAAGTTGTAGTAAAGCATGGGTCAACATATTGCTTGCCTAGGAGAATGCAACAGAATGAAGTTGTTTTAATACAAAAAGTTTTAAACATAACAAAATGTGTGTGTGTATGTGTGTGCACCTGTGTGTGTGCATGTTTGTGTTTGTGTGTGTGCTTATGAATGCATGTACAGATGTGTACACATTTATATCTGGGTGCACATAAGAGCCCCCGAGGTCAGTTTTAGATTGTATGTCATTCCTCAGGAATTTTTCTATCAAGTTTTGTTAAGACACTTTTTTAATTAAAAAAATTCCCTGTATGCATAGAATGAATTTTAATCACATCCACCTGTCACTACTTCCGCCCAGACACTCAATCCCCTCCCAACTTCACGTTCTCTTTATAGGTTTGCCCTGCATCCATTTAGTGCTGATCATATGCATATGGTTCTGTGTCCTTACACTGAGCCCCCAACCCAAAACCTACAAACAGTTACGTTCCCAAAGGAGAGCGACCACCTTTTTCTCAGCTTCCGGTAGCACCTCTGATGTGGTGACATCTCAGAAATGTCTCTCCCATCTCTGCTGGAATTTTAGATGACTTTTAACTGACTTGGTCTTGTATAGGTATGGTAGTTTGAATGTAATTGGACCCCATAATCTCATAGGGAGTGGAGCTATTAGGAATATGACTTTATTGGCGTGGGTATGGCCTTGTTGGAGGAAGTGTGTCACTGTTGGGGTGGGCTTTGAGGTTTCCTATACTCAGGATATTTCCCAGAGTCTCAGTTGACTTCCTGTTGCCTGCAAGACATAAGACTCTCGGCTATCAGTAATACATCTGCCTGTGTGATGCTGTGTTCCCCATCCTGAGGATAATGGACTGAACCTCTGACACTGTAAGCGAGCCAGCCCAATGAAATGTGTTCTTTATATGAGTTATTGTGGTCATGATATCTATTCACATAATAGAAATTCAAACTTATACGACAGGTGACCGTTGAAAAGAGTCTCGCCCTGAAGGTTGGAGATAGCCATGAAAGTCTATACTTGCTGGCCAAGTCTTGAGGATTCAAACACATACCACTATATTTTATGTTTGCTGAATTTTGAGGATCAAATTTTTTCTATACAATATTCTTTATTTTTATTTTCATTTATTCTTTTCCTTTCTTTGAACTTGTTTTCGTTGAGCTATACAGTTTCTCAGCTCCCTTTCCCCTTCTCTCTTTCCACCCTCCCTCATGCTCCAAAGCTCCCTATTTACTCAGGAGATTTGTGTCGTTACACCCCCCCCATCATCAGGCTTTTTTTAAAAATATTTTTTTAAATTTAAATTATAAACAAGGTTGCTTCACATGTTAATCCCAGCTCCCTCTCCCTTTCCTCCTCACCAGCCCTCCACCAAACCTCCCCAGCCCCACCACCGAATCACTACTCTGATCTCCAGGGAGGATGAGGTCCTCTATGGGGGATCTCCAAAGTCTGTCATTTTATCCAGGGCAGGGTCTAGGCCCTCCCCCAAGAGTCCAGGCTGAGAGAGCATCCCTCATTGTGGGATGGGCACCCAAAGTCCATTTGTATGCCAGGGATAAATACTGATCTACTACCCAAGGCCCCATAGATTGCCTAGGCCACCTCACTGACACCCACATGGGTTGGAATCAGTCCCATGCTGGCCTCTCAGCCATCAGTCTGGGGTCCAAGAGTTCCCCCTTGTTCAGGTTAGCTGTTTCTGTGGGTTGAACCAGCTCAGTCTTTACCCCTTTGCTCATCAGTCCTCCCTCTCTGTCACTGGGTTCCAGGAGTTGAGTTCAGTGTTTAGCTGTAGGTGTCTGCCTCTGCTTCCATCAGTAATTGTTTGAAGGTTCAAGGATGGCATATAAGAATTTTAAGTTAAGCACAGTCCTGACAGATTTCTAAGTACCACTGGCATGCCCATCCTTAAGGAAAGTACTCTTGCTTCTGGTTTAATTTTTGCTGTGTCTGCCAGAGGTTTCATGATGTACCTCTCTAAAGTAACTTTTAAGGGAATTTTATTTGATGCATGTAAGTGTCTTGCCATCATCATGGATGCTTAAGAGTCAAGGAATGCTGGAAGAGGAGTCAGATTCCATGGAACTAAAGTTACGGGCATTCAGAGCTAGGGAATCAAACCTGGCCTTCAATAAGAACTGCATGTGACCTTAACTGGTGAGTCAGCTCTGTTGTCCTGGAGGTGTGTAGTTCAGTTAGTTCGTAGAGGGTCTACCTACCACACACAGAGCCCTGAGTTTGGTTCCCCAGCACAATATAAACCAGATGTAGAGGCACATTCCTATAATACTAGCACTTGGGAAAGCAGAGGTAGGGGGATCAGAAGTTCAAAGTCACCCTTGGATGCATAACAAGTTCAAGGCACACCTGGTTACATGAGCTCCTATCAACAATAATTTTTTTAGTATTAAAATCATCATGCAAGAGAAAGGTGCCATACAACAGATCTGGGGTGGAGGGTTTTTGTTTTTAATTGGGGGAAAAGTGAATGGAAAAAGGGGGGTGGGAAAGGGGTAACTACTGACCTCAGGGGACAGGAGATGTAGAAGAGAAGAGAGAGGGGGGGAGGGAGGGAGGGAGGAGGGAGAGGAGACTCGGAGAGAAGCAGAGAGAGTTAAATGGGAGGTGGTCAAGGCTCCTTTAAAAGGGAAGGTAGCGAATGTGCTCAGGTGGTGCTCTCAGTGGCTGCAGCTGAGGGTGTGTCCTGTCAGAACCCCACGGACG